TCACTGATGCCGAAACCTCAGGATGTTACTCAACTGCGTGCTTTTCTTGGCATGGTCCAGTATTACGCCAAATTCTTGCCCGATCTGGCCACTCATCTTGCTCCACTTCATCGGCTGTTACAGAAAGATGTGACGTGGTTGTGAGGGACTGAACAAACTAGTTTTCTTGTGGTGAAAGAAATGTTGCTACAGGATAGGGTTCTGATGCACTATGACCCTGACTCACCACTAGTTCTTGCCACAGACAGCTCCTCGTATGGTCTCGGAGCGGTCTTGTCACACCGTACTGCTGAGGGAGTAGAGCGTCCTATCGCTTATGCGTCCCGGTCCCTGTCCGAAACAGAGAAGAAGTTCTCACAAATCGAGAAAGAAGCATTATCTTTGGTCTGGGGTGTGAAGAAGTTCCAAATGTACCTGGAGGGTCGCCACTTCACCTTGGTCACTGACCATCAGCCTTTGAAGTACATAATGGACCCCGGGAAGGCTGTGCCAGTCACAGCAGCAGCGAGGATTCAACGTTGGTGTCTCTTCCTAGGAGCTTTTTCATACAATATCGAGTTCCGAGGTACCAAGCAACATGCCAATTGTGATGGTTTATCTCGCCTACCCCAACCATCAGCGCCCGCTGACAAGCCCGATGAAGTTGAAATATTCCATACCACCGTTGTCGAGGCCCTCCCCGTTACAGAGCACGACTTGAGAATGCAGACCCGTAGGGATCCAGTACTTTCCCGTGTTCTGGAGCTTGTGCAGTCAGGATGGCAAGGGACCGAACTTCACCCAGAGCTCATCCACTATGCCCATCGCGGTAACGAAATCACGATTCATCATGGAGTTCTAATGTGGGGTAGTAGAGTAGTCGTCCCAGCCAAACTGAGAGAGAGAGTTTTGGAAACGCTTCACGAGGGTCACATTGGTATGGTCAAGATGAAGGGTTTGTCCCGGGGTTTTGTTTGGTGGCCAAACATTGACAAGGACATAGAAGGGGCCGTCCGAAACTGTGAGGGATGTCAAGAGTTGGCAAATAATCCAGCCCGTGCACCCCTGCATCGATGGGAGTACCCTTCCCTTCCCTGGCAAAGACTGCATATTGACTTTGCCGGACCAGTCGAGGGAAAGATGCTCATGGTAGTGATCGATGCCCACAGCAAGTGGCCGGAGATTTTCGTGATGGAGATCACCACTGCTGAAGAAACCGTTAGCACGCTGCGCTCTCTGTTTGCCCGCATGGGACTCCCTGACCAGATGGTGTCAGATAATGGTCCACAGTTCACGTCTGAAACCTTTAGGAAATTTACAACTGCGAACGGTATAAAGCATGTCACTGGTGCACCTTACCATCCATCAACCAATGGTCAGGCGGAAAGATTAGTACAGAGTTTCAAGAAAGGAGTTAAGGCTGACAAGTCCAGTAGAACCCTGCAACACAAGCTTGATAGGTTCCTGTTAGCTTATCGATCAGCGCCACACGCCACTACTGAGCTTAGCCCTGCACAGCTTCTCCTGGGTCGGAATGTTAAGACAAGGTTGGACCTGATTAAGCCGGATGTTTCAAGAAAAGTTAACAAGAAGTTGCTCCAGCCCAATGACCGCACTTTAAAGTCTTTTGACCAAGACCAGAACGTATGGGTCCGCAACTACCGCAGAGGTCCAAAATGGGTGCGTGGCACCGTCATTGAGCAAACGGGTCCAGTCCTGTACAAAGTCAAGGTAAACGACCAAACCTGGAAACGTCATGTCGAGCAGCTACGGGATAGCAATCTTTGCCCACCTGACGCGGAAACGATTGATGATTGTGCTGTTCCGGAGGAGGTCGAACATGACACACCGCCTGTAGCTACGGAGACTGAGTGGAAGGATGCACCACCTTTGGCTGTGACGCCTATTGGGGAGTTTTCCCTCCAGAACCACAAGGTCATCAACTAGATCCGAAACCTGAATTGATTACCACCCGTGCCGGTCGTTTGGTTAAACCACCTCCTAAGTTGAAGGACTATGTTATTTTGATGCGCACGCTACTCAGCTGGAGTTGGGCTTCCGACCCGATGTTTGGCGCGCGTTCACTTACCTTCATGTTTGGGACATATGAAAAAATACAAATATGAATTATTTCATATAAAAACTTCACATCATTTCACTGCACGGGAAGATATGAAATCAATAAATTGACCACGCTCCCAATGTGTGGCTTCATAGCTCAGTTGGTAGAGCATCGCACCGGTATCGCGGAGGTCACGGGTTCGAATCCCGTTGAAGCCCTGATTTTTTTTTTTCAGGCTTCTTCTTTCCAATTGCTTAAATTGGAAAATTTACTGCGATGATCACATTTCACTTTCATCTACAACCGCAGTACAAATATGAATTATTTCATATAAAAACTTCACAAAGCCTTTCTTAATAAGAAACGAGTTTTTGTTTAAGCGCTCGATGAAAGAGCACTCCTCTTTGAATGTACGGTGTTCTTTCGCCATGTTAGTCCTTTTATTCACGTTTCACAACGGTTTCAGCTGATTCAGCGAAGAGAGAAAAGATCTGCCGCAGTAAATCAGCGCATGACTCCTGTTTGAATCACGCGCAGTACAATTTCTTATCCAGTCTTTCTCTGCCAAGTAATCCATAATGGCGGACGACGTGAGAGTGTTTTTATTAACTCTCTGGGGATAAACCAGAACTGTTGCTGTTATTCAAAAGAGCGTTTACATTCAGTTTCTCAGTTAAAGCTCTTTGCTCATTGCTCCATAATGGCAGAGAAGAATTCGAAAGGGAAGAAGCGGAAATGGGAACCAGTAGAATTGGACGATCCTTCGTTCTTTGCGGGCGAAATGGATGGATTTGTGTCCCTTGAAGTCATGGAAGATTATGATCTAAAAGAACTAACAGGAATTGGTACAAGTGGACCAGCTCGGAAGAAGAAAATAAAAGAGCGGCCGCCGCAGAAGGTGAATTAATTAAAGTGCTTTAAAACCTACCGCGTTGTTAAATTCAGAAAATAAGATTCAAGCACGTGGTGAAATTACTTTGTATTTGACTTAAGTTTGAGTTTGTACATGTAACTGAGAAATTGGAAAAAATGTATTTGTTTGTCAATTTTTTTGTTTATTTATTTTTTTATCATTACTCACCCTTAATTATTAAATGTAATAAATGGGAGAATTTTCAGCAAATCTTATGGATGAAGTCTCCTGTGCATCATCCAATCTTAGAAAATACATGTATGTCATAAATGTATGTTTGTGCTGTCTATACTGACACAAAATTGAGGGTTGTCCATTACATTCAAATTGGGTTGAATCATTTATTTATCGACCCACCAGAAGTTATATTAAAGTTAACATGGCCACCAGGTGGACAATCAGACAGGGTTTGATGCTACTCTGGTTTAAGGATTTAATGAATGTAACCAAAGAAGCTATAATTCATAGACCCAAAATTTCAACACTCCTGTCTAGTGCCTTCATCAGAGGTGATCCAAATGCTGCAACAAGAGGTCCTTTTATACCATCACTACTTAGCTGCCTTTTTTTCTGATGAGGTGTAAATAGGCGTCAGGTCATAAACCTACCCACACAGAGAAATGCTTTCGATTCTCACCACCCTATTTGCCATAAAAAGTCTGTAGCCAAAACTTTACTCAGGAGGGCTGACTGTCTACCATCTTCACTCAATTCGAAGGCTGAGGAGAGGAAATATGTTTCAAATGTCCAAAAGGCAAATGGCCATACAAAGACTCCTCTCCGTAACTACCAAAAACCAGTTACAACTAGTAGCACTCCTGATGAAAGGGAACCAGCAACTGGTTTTGCTGTTATTCCTTACATTCAGGGTGTTATGGAACCCATTAAGAGAATTTTGAATAGCCACAACATTAAAGTTGCTCAAAAACCTCCTCTGACTTCGGGGTATATTTTTGCTAAACCTAAGGATCCTGTCACAAAAGAACAACAAACTGATGCCATTTATTCTATTCCTTGCAATGACTGTGACAACGAATACACTGGAAGACCAAACATCAGCTTGGTACACATTTAAAAGAACATCAAAAAGCAGCTTTCTTTTGCAAAAAAGAAAATTCAGCTTTATTGGAGCACACATGCCTAACTAACCATACAACTGGGGGGATAATTCTAAAATTATCACTGCTAATCGGCGTTACCACCAGCGCCTTTGTTTGGAAGCCTGGCATATTAACTCCACCCGCGCTCCTTTAATGATGATGGTGGCTTACTTCCTGACACCTATTTACACCTTGTCAGAAAAAAAGGTAGCTAATTAGGGATGGTATAACAGGACCTTTTGTTGCAGTGTTTAGATCACCCCTGATGAAGGCACTAGATAGGAGTGTCAAAATGTTGGGTCTATGAATTGTAACTTCTGCAGTTACATTCATTAAATCTTTAAACCAGAGTAGCATCAAACCATGTCCCACCAGAAGTTAATTGGCAGTTAAGTCATCTTGTGATACTGAAAATCTGAATGAACCATCCCATGTAAAGTGGAAATGTCCTACTAAAAGTCGAATTTCATGACACTTAATAAATAATCCTCAACCTGCTCCAAGGCAAGGTTGAAAATGTTGTTCAATCAACTCAATTCAACTCAAATGGAATTACTTGACTCCTGAGTTAGATTGGGTGTGTTTGACATCAGAAACAAAACAAACTAAAGATAACTGCTAGTCGTACCTTAAATGAAAAAAAAAACAAACAAACAAACAAGCAAAAAGAAACAACAGTAACACTCTCCACAAGAACTACCTGAAAATACATCAAGTCATCAAAATCATTTTGAGAGCAATTTGTCCTTAATTTTTCAAAGACAGCAGACTGCACTCCCTGGTGAAAAACCTCACAGGATCTTTGAGGATCTTCAAGGATTGTCAAAGACCTGCCAAAGATCCTTAAAGACAAGGATCTTTAAAGGATCTTTAAAGGATCTGTTAAAGATCTTCAAAGATCTTTAAAGATCTTTGTAAGCAAAATTACTTGTTAAGATCCTCAAGGATTTTATAAAGATCCTCAAAGGATATTACAAGGATCCTCATAAGGATCCTCATAAAGTTCTTTTCAAGGATCCTTCAAGATCCACAAGGATTTAATGAGGATCTTTCAAAGATCTTTAAAAGATCCTTTCAAGGATCCTGTCAAGATCTTTTCAAGGATCCTTAAGGATTTAATCAGGATCTTACAAGGATCCTAGTCAAGATCTTCGCAGGATCTTTTCAAGGATCCTTCAAGATCCTCAAGGATTTAATGAGGACCTTTCAAAGATCTTCAAAAGATCCTTTTAAGGATCTTATTAAGATCTTTGCAAGGATCCTTGAGGATTTGAGCAGGATCTTAAAAGGATCTTAGTCAAGATCTTTACAGGATCTTTTCAAGGATCCTTCAAGATCCTCAAGGATTTAATGAGGATCTTTCAAAGACCTTCAAAAGATCCTTTTAAGGATCCTATTAAGATCTTTGCAAGGATCCTTGAGGATTTGAGCAGGATCTTAAAAGGATCTTAGTCAAGATCTTTACAGGATCTTTCCAAGGATCTTTCAAGATCCTCAAGGATTTAATGAGGATCTTTCAAAGACCTTCAAAAGATCCTTTTAAGGATCCTATTAAGATCTTTGCAAGGATCCTTGAGGATTTGAGCAGGATCTTAAAAGGATCTTAGTCAAGATCTTTACAGGATCTTTTCAAGGATCTTTCAAGATCCTCAAGGATTTAATGAGGATCTTTCAAAGACCTTCAAAAGATCCTTTCAAGGATCCTGTTAAGATCTTTCCAAAGATCCTTAAGAATTTGATCTGGACCTCACAAGGATCCTAGTCAAGGTCATTGCAAGATCTGTTCATTATGATCCCTCAGGATCCTCAAGGAATTATAAAAGGATCTTCCAAAGATCTTTAAAAGACCCATTTCCAGATCTTGTATAGATCTTTGCAAGGATCCTTTTGGAATTTTATGTGGAATGCAAGTGGATCCTTGTCAAGATCTCTACTTAATCTCTGTATTATGAATTAGGCTTTTCAAGTAATTTAATAGGGGCCCTCAAGCATCTTAAAACCATGTATTTAAGATTTTATAAATACCTTTGCAGTAGTTTCAATGAATTGATTAATATATTTAAAGGAATTTTTACTTTTCTTTGCAATGATCCAAAGCTAGATCTTTGGGGCAAAGATCAGAGAAAGAGTATTTTAAGTCTGGTTTGAAATAAGATATTTGTCTAAGGATCATTCAAAGTAGTTGATGGAATCTTCAAAGATTTAACCCTTTAACTCCCAAGATTTCATGACTAATTCTCCTAATACTGTCTGCTATACAACTTATGTGATGTTAGTTTGGAGAATTTGGAATTGGATCAACCAATAATCCCTGATTGATATTTTTCTTTGTTCTCATTACTTATCTGATAATGTTAGGAGAAATTCTGTCTAAGTCATTAGTGGGACTTTAAGGGTTAATGAGAATTTATTTTAAACATTACTGCAAGGATTCACCAGAGACCTTTTTAACTGTTTCTTCAAGATCTTTCTTGTAGGGACTAAAATACTGAGGATCTTGCAGTATTGTGAATATTATCATGTATCAATTGTTTTATCTCCTGTGCAACTTGTTGTGGTTCAATTAAGATGTTGTAAATTGAGGGCTCATTGTTTTATGATTTAAGCACAGCAAGGAATTTTTGCATAAAATTGATTTATGCTAAGTGTGTAAAAGCTCTTAAATTTATGGAAAACAAAGGTGCAGAGCTGAGTGTACACATTTCCATACTTCTGAGGTTGATTCTTGCATAAATTTTGGACTTATGTATTCCAGGTAGACTTAATGTACATCATAGGGAGGTCTGCTAAAACTGAAATCTGTGCAAGTTGCTCAGACATACTAGAGTCTTTGGAATTCAATAAGACACATCTTTATGAAACCCAGATTTAT